TGCCTCCTACATGCTAGAGCTGTAAGCCAAATAAAGAATGTACAAGGTGCGCCTGGGAGTGGTCAGTAAAATATGGCCTGTGGACTAATTTGACCCATCATCTCTTTTTGTAAATAAAGTTTTATTGAAACACAAGCTTGTCCATTTGTTCACTTAGAGTCAATGACCATTTTTGTAATAAATTGTCAGAGTTGAGTAGTTATGACAGAATGTTATATCCTTCAAAGTCTAAAAATCTTGGGTATCTAGTACTTTAAGGAAGATGTTTTCAAACTCAAATATATAATAAATATATGGAGAATCTTCATGTCAATTTTGAGTATGAAAATAAAAATTAAGAATCAAGAGAAAGTTTCCTGTATACTTTGTTTCTATTTAGGCTTGTGATTAGAGAGTGAATAAATGTTACTTTATAACCACGTTGACAAAAAGAGATGCCGGGCTAATGGGGTGGGATGTACTCCATGGATACAACACAACTCCAGTGCTAAGCACTAATCAGACTATGCAATGTTTACTTTGTTAATGTGCTAAGAATTTGGGTTATGCATATTGGAGATTTTCTGAATTGCTATGTATCTGTAAAGTCACAACTTAGTGAATATAAAAGGAAGATTGTGGTTATCATTTAAACGGAGAAAATAGACTTCACAAGTTACCTGTATGTTGTTCTTCGGCCCATACTTGTAAGTACATGAAGAGAAGCAGCCCCGCTACTCCAAATATAAGCACAGAGAGGAAGACCTGTTTGGGGTTCATGACCACTTCAGATGGCTAAGTTTCTCCTCCTGTCTGAATCTGAAGGCCACATGATTTGTTTCTCCGCAGAGCATCAATCTGTTCTTGTTCTCCCAGGCTACATTCTACAAAGTAACCTGGAATAAAAGAAAAAATTCACATAGTGCGTGTCTGATGGCATGTATGTCTCAACATGGTAAACATTTGAAGCATATCAACAACACTGAAGACTTGAATGCTTGGTATCCACCGGAACAGGAAATGCTGCATTAGCCCCATCCACAAAGGCAATTTGCTATCGTACACTGTAATCTGTGGAATTTTGTGCACTCTTATCCTGAGGCTAGTGAATCACAGAATAACATTTAATTAGGTGGAAAGTTTGGCCAGATTTAAGTTCTTTTGTGCTGTAAAGAGTCAAGTGAGTTTCAGGTTACCGATTTTAAGGGGTGGAAATGTAACAGACTACTTAGGAATGAGGTTTGAAAAATGTCTGTGGAATACAGAAAACCCTTTCTGTCCTCGGTAACCAAGGGCAGTTGGATGCTCAAATCCCTGAGAACATTGCACAGTATCAGCTTGTGACCAATGCATGTACTCTGGTGTACTTTAAATCACTCTAAATTTTTTATCAGCCCCCTTCCATACGATGTCAATACTACGAAAATGGCTGTTATACTCTGCTGTTCAGGGAATAGTGGTTAAGAAATAGTCTTAAGGTTCAGTAGAGATGTAATTATTTACTTTTGAGTATTTTGATGTGTGGTTGGTTGAATTTGTGGATAAAGTCTGCTCATGTTCAGTATAAATGCTTGGTTTTTCCAAATATTTTCAAGTCATCTTGACTGAATCCACAGATAGGAAGGACTGACTATATGTAAAGTTTTAAAATGGGAAGTTTAGTCTAGCATTTCTTATTAGGTAAAAGTAATAAATTTATTCAGTTTACATGGTGATTTTATAATCTTTCTGAAATATAAATGAATGCATGGCAAAAGGTCTGGGTCCAAAGATGACCTTCAACAAGAACTGAATTACTGAAATCTGTCAAAGATTACAAAAATCTACCTAAGTAATAAAAGATGAATTTACCTAAAATAACAAAACTCTGAAATCATCTTTTTTGGAACAATCTTATTAATATATTCTTAGCCTTTTATTTTATGTCACACACACTTCCAAGAGTCTAATGAGAATGTGAAACTTGCCTTAGAAAAATATGAACAAGTGACCTGCATGAGACGCTGATGTGCTTGTGAGTCGTCACTGAAACCCAGGTGGATGATAATGGCTTCAGTGCACTGCAGTGACTACCTGGGGCTCAGCTGGTTAACAACCTGGACAGTGGGGTCACTGTCCAGCCTGTACCTATGGCTGTTCTGAGACCCTTACTTGGTCCCTGGCCACAAACCACATTTCCTCTTTGGGAGAGTGAATACATAATCTTAAAAGTGAAGACATTTCACATAATCCTGTCCTTAAAAATGATCTGCTTTATTCTAAATACAATATAAAAGCTTTGTGGAGAGTAATTGAGGGAGAACAAGGATTTACCTCAGTTAAGGGAATTTAGTGGGTAGAAGTTAAAAGTTAAAAATTGCCATGGTCAATTACTGGGTCAGTTAAAGGATAACAAGAATTCTTTTAACTGCTAGTCTCTTATATTTCCCACCTCCCTCCCTCTTTCCTTCCTTCCTTCCTTCCTTCCTTCTTTCCTTCCTTCCTCCTCTCTCTCTTCCTTCCCCTCCCTCCCTCTCTCTTTCTTCCTCCCTCCCTCCCCCCCTCTTTTTTTCTTTCCTTCTTTCTTCTTTGTTTCTAATTAGCCCAGACTGGCTTCAAACTTCAGCTCTGCCTGTCTCCTGTCCATTTTCCAAGTGCTTATTCCTCACTCAGTTTTCAGCTATTCTTAATAAAAACCAATTTTGACACAAAACTGGGCTTCAAAGGTAACTAAGAGCCCAGGTTTCTCAAAGAATGTATAAAGAAAATAGGATGATCACTTAATTAGGAAAAAAATCCAATCCAACACTTTCAAGCATTTATGTATGAGAAATGAGTTCTATCACAAATACTCACTTTTCTTTCTATTTTAATTGTGATGTGGAAGAGGCCAGAGTAAAAGCGCTGGGGTCGTCAGCTTTCTGAGTCATTTTCTCAAATATTCTTTTCTTAGTCCCCTAAGGAAAGGGCAACTCTTAACAGTTTTCCTAGTGCTTTGAGGGATTTCAAGTGTTTTGATTTTGGTAGGAAAGCAAGTTTTTAAAACAGCAGAACCCAGGATATTATCATCTGTTGATTTGATGGGTTATTCTTTACTCCTATGTTGAATCAAACTAAAATATACATGGACTTTCCAGATATGTGCAGCAAGGAATGGGTCTCAAGGGACATTTGCAGTCTGAGGTGTTCCAAGACTGAATCCCTCAAGGGACGCTATGAAAAGAAGCCAGTTTTCTCTTCCTTTGATACTGCCGTTAACAATGAGCTGACATATTTCCTGGTATAGAAGGAGATTCGGATAGCAGGAAAACAGTTAAACAAAATCTAGTACTAACAAAGAAATAGTTGTTTACAAGAAGAAATAGACTTTTACAATCTGTCTACATAATTAAAACTTATCTCAGAAGAGAAAAGAAAAAAACTTAAATCACAGTGGAGCCACAAACCTGTGAAATGGTGGGTCTGAGAGTCAAAAAGATGTACCCCTTGGGGGGTTTGCAGAGAAAAATTATTACCTACAGTGTTGGAAATAGATTAAGAATTTGCCCTGACTTTCTTCCAGAAATGTTGCTATCCCCTCATGCATCCTCCTGGGTGAGGAGGCGGCAGAAAAGCCGTAATTGTGATGGCAGATGTGAGGAGGGCTGAGCGATTAAAGCCACAAGGCAGAAAGGCAATCTGGTGTAAAACAGAGAGATACGTTTGTTTTTCTTCCATCTCAGCCCATTAACCCAACGTTGGCATGAAGAAATGGCTCTCATTAAACAAAGGTGAGATGGTAGGAGCAACTGTATTGCTTTAAGGAACCCTGAAGGTTAGTTGTGATGGGAAAACACACCTATCTGGAGATCATATATCTACCTCCAAGCCTGAAGAAAAAGTGTAGACTGCCAGAGATTGAAATTACTTGGAATAATACTGTTCTATGTAAAGCATTCGGTGACAGTTCCACAGCCAAAGGCTTCCTGTGCTTTGTGCAATCTTCTCTTTCCCACTCATAGACACACTACTTTAAACTTAACAGATACTGAACAACTTGTTGCTTCTAATTTAACTTTTTGCACCAATAAGAGAATATAGACAACGGATGTATTTTATAGATAGCTTTATTTGTAAATCCATAATTCTAACTTGTGAGTGTGAAACAAGGAATGAGAGTTTTCATGGCTTTGTTTATAAAAATGTAACGTTTTATATTTCAGGTGTGGTGGTGCACACTTTTTGTCCTAGCACTTGAGAGGCAGAGGCAGGCAGATCTCTGTGAGATCAAGGCCAGCCTGGTCTACATAGTGAGTGTCAGGCCAGCTGGGGTTATGACAGTGAGACTCTGCCTCAAAAAGAAAAAAACAAAAATAAAAACCCAAACAAAAGAAAAAACCTCCAAAGCACAGTTATTATTTTTTCCACATTTGATTGATTTCTTACATTATGAAAATATAATTTTTAACACCATTAATTTCCCAACACTTAAAACTTATTCTTTCAAATAACCATGGCTACCAACGGAAGTATAATGGGACTAAAGTATAGTAACAAATTACTAATTAGAGACAATGGAGGTAAAAGGAAACTCCAAGTTACTAAGTTTCATATAAGCTCATGATTTTCCAAAGACTGTGGTAGGATTTGGGCGAAGGTGGATTTAAATTACACAGGTGGTTTGACATAGGAGGGTGCTGGTCCCCAGTTTTCACCCTAAGTTGGACCTCATCAGCCTTGCCTCCTTACCTCATCCACTATAGCTGCATCATTCTTCTTTCTTTCCCAGCCTCTGGTCAGACAGACACCATCAGTGATGGACATCAATGAACCACTCATCTTTTGGTGTCCTCTGGACCTACTCACACACCTTTGTTATGTCCCTGCAGTACAAGGCTCCTCACTCTCTCTCTATCCTTTCCAGGTTCCTGTGAAGGGCAGCTTCATAACCTCAGTCTCTGTAGCCAGCGACTCCTTCCTCTGTAGGCCCTCCAGAGTGATTGTCACCACCCCTAGACAGGCTTCCAAATAGGTTTCTCAGAGCCCATCCATTTCTCAACCCCAGCTGTCCTGGAGGTTGAGATGATACTAGAAAGGACAGACATTTTATTAGGATCAAAAATTTGTAATATCCTCTTTTTATTCCCATATTGTTTTGATTTTTTTTATATTCTGGCTCTAACTTGAAATTCCTATGTTTATCTCTTCCATATTTTTCTGATTTTTTTTTTGTTTGTTTTATTGTTTTTCTGGTTCTGGAGCCCTAACCCAGGACCTGACACACTCAAGACAAGCACTCTACCACTGAAATACACCTCCAGAACTTCCTATTTTACTCCAGATTTGTGGTTATTTTATGATTTTGACTAATTCTTTATCTATACCAGCATTTTAAAAAATCTTTCCTGTTAGTGATTTCTTTTTCCTGCTTCCCATACAGAGCTGAGTTTAACCACTGCTGGCATGATTTGCTCTTGACTTAGAGTTATATTATGACAGACCAGAGGGCCAGCTTGGAGAATAGCTGATTTCCATGCCTAGTCTGCATCTGTCTCTCTCCTTCCCCAAGCCTTGCACATTCTGAGGGCCACAGCTCCAAGGGAAGACTGCCGCCATTTGCCTCTGCAACCTTCTCTTTCATTGTGGGGTAGCTTGGCACTTCCTGCCTTCTCCCCAGCTTCCATCAATGGGCCTGTTAGCTACCATGGCAGGCATTAAACTGCCAGATATCCCAGAACCCATTTCACCACTGTGTATTTACTTCCATTCCTGATATTGAGTCTGTTTTATAGTGTCTTGTTCTTTTGTTTCCAAGTTTCATTTATCATTGTTTGGTTCTGGGACTAGCTTAGACTAGCCAAATAAAACACGTTTCTCTCTTCACCAGAAATCACCACGCCTTTCTTCAGCCCTAATTTACTTTCTCCATGAAAACAGA